CCCCCCCCCGCCCCCGCCAAAACCACCTGGATAACAAAATTCTGCCTGAGAAAGATGACCTCTGCAGTGTGAGGAATGACTCAACACAGAAAACCAGGTTGTCTGCCCTCTGAGCTCTAACCCTAGAGCCCCCAACCCTGGCTTCTGCTCACACAGCTCCAGTCCACTCTGCCCTCCCTCTCCTGGAGCCCAAGGTGAGTGTCTGCACACGAAATTTTGTGTATTAGCCCTTTAAGAGAGTGCCTGCATTTCTAGGCATCTCTCCCTGGAAGATAGCAGCCCTGCTGCTTTTCACAGCCAGATGTTTTGTGGGCACCTTTCTCAGTTCTGGTGCTCTCTGCTGGGCGGCCCAATTGGGGATTAGACCCCAGAGTTCTCAGTGGCAAACCCACACAGCTGAGATATCTCTCCAGAACTTCAGCTGCTGTCTGTGGTGCCCAGCCGCTCTTTCGTGCCTCTGCCCTTCCTACCAGTATCTATGTGGTCCCCACTTTCTGTCTTTGGTTATCAGGGTTCTCTTCAGCTAGTCTTCAGTTGATTATTTGTGATTTTTTTCAGTATTTTAGTTGTAATTACAGTTTGGTCCTGGGAGCGTGTCTGTGTAGCATCCACTTACTCCGCCAACCATTTTTAATTCCTTCAATTGGGTTTTCTTTTCAGACACCCAGAATTCAGTACTAGGGTGCTGTTCTCATAATGTCCACCAGAAGGCCCTATTGCCACAACTCCCTGCAAGGGCAAGAGCTCCCTGTCTGTCCATTGGGTTTTGTCTTGGCTGAGCTAGAGACCAGAGGCGCCCCCCCTCCCCAATTCCAGTCCTTTCAACTCCTCCTTTCTGCTCTTGGTGTTGGCCCCTGGGGCTCTCAGAAAATCCCAGTGCACTCTTGGGTGCCTAGCCTTCACAGCCTGGCCCCTCCCACAAGGCCTGCCCCGCCCCCACAGCACCACTGTCCTGAGGGCTGCACCTCCTGGTGCTCAAAGCAACCCCAGCCTGGTGATTCAGTCTGAAGGGCGTCAGAATTGTTTCTGCGTGACTTCAGTGCTTTGTTCCAGAAGGTCCCATCATGTGTCCTGCTGGACTCATGCATGCTGGCAGCCCTGGGCAAATGCTTCCCGCCCTGCATGAAGGCTCCTGGGCTCTGCTTTGCCCCTTGGGATCCACTCCCATCAGGAAGCTGCTCCATGGTCAGCAGCCGGCACCCCAACAGTCAGGTAACCCTGTGCCCTGTGAGAGTGTAACCACCAAATTCCTTCAGCCTGTTTTCTAAGCTGAAGTTAACAAGACACTATGCAGTCCAGCCTTTGCAATGGAGCCTGGTGCCCTCTGCGTCTCCAAAGCACCTCTGGGCACCCACCCCCTCAGAGGCAAGCCCAGTTGCCAGTAGGCTCCCCACTGAGCCAGAGAAGCCAGGCACCCTTGGGCTGTCCCCTGCAGCAGGGGTTGCAGGAGATGAGGGCAGGACTCAAGGGCTGATTCTGCCCCCAGGGCACCAGTGGCAAGTCTGGGAACAGGTTTGATTGCCACCCAGGAATGGGTGACCAGGGCAGTGCTGACATGGCACAAAGCACAGCATGCCCCCACCACAGAGAGCCACCGTAGATCTGTGCTACACCCGGCCCAGGGGACATGGCTGGTGCTGAGACGTTCCCCAGCTAGCCCCATGGCCGTGCTGTGCCCGACATCCACGTATGGGGCAGTGTGCTTGTCGGGGATCTCCAAGGGCGACTGCTCTCTGCTTGAACGCCCTATCCAGGATGTCTCATGGCTGTGCAGTGGGTCCCTAAGTGCTGCCCTGGCGATGGGGCTGGGCCTGCCCTCCCTGGTGCAGTAGCAGAGGGGTGGATGGCTGAAATGTGATCCAAGTACCTGCATCCCTGGCTGGCGGGCGCTGAGGGTGTGGCTGGGATTGCCTCCCTTTGCTTCCAGGGTTGGGCTACAGAACCCCATCTGCTTCTTCCCAAAAAAAGGATTGAAAAGGTTATCCTCCAGGAAGAAGCCCAAGTGCTGGGTGACAGCTGGGGTCTGGGGTGGCCGTGGTCAAGCAGGGGGTGGTGCTCTTTGTCCACTTTGGGTGAGGCTTCCCTGTGCACCTGGGCCTCTCCTCCCACCCACCCCAGCAGGTTACCCAGCTCAGACTGGGGCAGCCCCCACCCCCCATACAGGGTCTGTCCTCTTCAGCTGAGGCAGAGGCCGTACCACCCACCCCTGAGCCCTGGGCAGCACACGTGGGGGACACGAGCTGGTGAACCCAGACCACCCGTGTCCCCACCCCGCCCGCCTGGACCGAGACTGGTGTCAGTGTCTTTACTGAAGGAATTTATTGTTCCGGAACTAAAGTTGCTCACAGTTATTTGACAGGGGTACATGGGGTGGGCTTGTTTGTTTCCGTGACGTCTGCATGTGTCCCAAGTACAAAAGAGGAAGGCTGACGAAGAGATATTGCTTTCGGTGTCCTCTGCCTCTTGAGAAGCCCCCGCTTGTACCTGTGGCTTTGCTGTTATCGGGCGTGTAATAGTTCTTATGTGGAAGCCCCAGCCTGTGGTGGGGCCAGTGGACAGAAGCGTTAAAATCTATCCTCGACCGAGGGCGGGCAGGCGGGCGGGCTGCGGGGAGACACCAGAAGCAGAGTGGACCCGTCACAGCGAAGGCATGCAATCAGACCTGCCCTCCCGGCCTCCAGCTGCCCGGTGCCCTCGACACCGCGGGGTCTGTGTGCCGGGCTGGCCGTACCCACAGGAAGAAACGCAAGCATTAGCTGGGGATGGAAAGCGGGCGGCCGCACCCGCACAGGAAACACTGCAGAGGACGCCGCTGACTCTGTTCTTGGTTATGTGGTGTTTTTTTTGTTTTTTTGTTTTTTTTCACTTTTTGTCATTTTAGTAAAAAACTCTGCGGTGCCCCTGCCATCCTGTGAGTGGGTGGGAGCCAGCCCAGGGCCTTCCTCCTACCCTGTTCTCGGACACAGAACCAAGAGGGTCCCCATCCTGGACCGGGTGGAGGGGCCCTGGGCAGTGGCGCCCATGGGACTGGAGTTGCTTCTACCCAGGACGGACAGAGCAGACAGAGTGGCCTGCGCCGTTCTTTAAATATATATATGTGTGTATATAGAAAGAACCAAGAGCAAGAACCGAACACAAAACCTAGCCCTGCCCAGCGGCTCCCCTCCCCCACACCCTTTTCCAAAAACAACCAAGAAAAAAAGTTTATAAAAATATCTTGCAGGAATTCTTTAAAGTTTACAGTAGCTTGCCGGCACTGCACCCACCGGCCTGCCCCCCAGCGCCCCATCGGCTGCGTCCTCAGGGCACCTGGGCCCAGACCCACCCTGCCCGAGACAGACAGACAGACAGACGGCAGGAAGATGCTGCTGCTGCCCCTTCCCTGAACAGAGAAGTAAAGAAACTCAATAAGTTAAAACAGCAAATAAATAATACTGATCTCGGCCAGCCTGCTGCCTCTGGGTCCAGTTCCACCCGAGCCAGGACAGGAACGCAGGTCCGAGAGCACCTGCAGCGACGAGCCGGGGGGACTGGGTGTCAGCTAGCATCAGCGTGGGTGCCGAGGTGTCGATGGACTGGGGAGGGGGTGCTGCAGAAGGAAGGGGCTGAGGAGAGGCTGCAAGCGCCCTCTGCCCGCCTCTCAGATGCTTCGCCCACCACGGCCCCGCCCTGGAGGCAGCCTGGGCGACAGGACCTGCCGAGGGCTCGAGTCACTGCAAGTCTGTCGGCAGGCTGGAGGCAGCTTCCCCTCGGAGCCAGGTCCTCCTCCCCATGGCCGTGCGGAGCAGAAACCGGCAGAGTGCCACGCGGGCAGGTGGACGGAGGCAGTGGCGGTGGGCAGGGCCTCGCCGCCGGGCACGCCGCAGCAGCAGGAGAGGAGAGGCAGGTCCACGGCAGCTGCCTTCAGCGGGCCGGTGTCCGGCGCGGAGCCCAGAGGACGGCCTCGTGGAGGTGACATGTTAACTTTTCGGGATAATTCCTGGTATCAGAGCGGAAACAGTGACGTTGTCAGAGACAGGCAGAGAGAGAAACAGCGAGAGAAAGAGAGAGCAGGCACGGGTGGACCGGCCACAGGCCCTGGCCCCCGGTGCCCCTATCCTTTCCTCCCCCGCTTCACACCAGTCTAGATGGGTAGGTGGGTGTGGCCCTGTGTCCACTCAGGGCGGGCAGGTGGCTCGGTAGCCTTGGTGGCCACTGTCAGGGCCGTGCTGGGGGGGGGAGGGGCTATGTGTCTAAGGCTGCTCGTGGCGGGCGGCGGGTGGCCCCGTCTTGGCCGTGTCCTTGCCCGTTGGGTACTCGGCATCCCCTCCAGGGCCAGGGCCAGCGGCCGCCGAGTCACCGAGTGGACTGTGGGCACTCCGCTTGGCGGGCGTGCTGGGGGCCTGGGCCGCCTGCCCGTTCTTCTCGTCTGAAAAAAGTTGTTTAATTACGTCAAAGAAGTTACTCAATGGGCTGCCTGGGTACACAGAACAGAAGACAAAAGAAAAGAAAAAAGAAAAAAAAGGGGCGAGAAAGAGGAAGGGAGGGAAGGAGAGAGAAAGAGAACAAACAAACAAATGAACGAAAGGGCCTTGGCGAGAGAAAGAAAAACCCAACGAGATGAGGTCTGAGATGGGCGTAGGGGGTGGGGACAGGTGACAGCAAGCAGGGTGGGCAGGCGGCCGGCCGGCGGGGTGCCCTCTGTGCCAGGGGCTCACAGGAGGGGTTGGGGCTTTGGGGACACGAGCTGGGACCTCTAGGCCTCTGAACTGCGGGGCGGGAACCCAAGGCAGGTGGAGAGACCCCTCCTCCCTCACCAGGCCTGGCCTTGCAGGTGCAGCGCCTCCCTTGGCCTCAGCCAGACACGGAACTCAGACACCAGTCTCAGAGTCTCCCCTTGTCAGCTCCGTGGCCTTGCTGGCCGGCCGGCCCACTCTGAACTCAGAGCCACAAAGACAGGGCTTCCACATCCCCAGGGAGCAGGAGCCTGGGACGGGCGTCTGGCTCTTGGCAGGAGGCCACGGGGTCTGCTCTGGGTTGGGAGGCTGGAGCCAGCGTGCCTGCCATACTCCTCCCCTGGCCAGCCCAGGCCACACAATGTGGAGACAGCGGACAGACAGATGGAAGGATGGATGGACAGGCATGGAGAGCTTGGGTGTGGGAGGGTGGGGGGCAGGCAGCCAGAGTGGGAATGTCCTGAGGTCAAGAGGAAGGGGTAGGATGGGATGACCACCCTGACCTGGGGCCTGTGCTCCCTGTCCAGGTGCACTGATGGGGCACCTTTGCTCTAGTTCCTAAACCTGAGCCCTGCCAGGTCCCTCCTCTCCCTGCCAGGTACAGTGGGAGGGGAGTGTTGTATGGCCTGGGTAGCTCACAGGTCCCAGCAGGAGCGGCCCCTGCTCCTGATTGCAGTCTATTGTGATCCCCGGTCAGAGCCTGCACATGCGACCCTCGCTGGTCTCAGGGCATGCTCTGAACACGGGTCCCTCCCGGGCCCACCCTGATCCTGGCCAGGCCTGTGCTGCTATTGGATGAGTGACAGGGTGCTCCTGGCAGAGGCAAGAGGCTGGGCGTGCAGGGGCCTACCCTGAGTCCCGTGTGTGTCTGGGCCCCAAGCTACACATAGACCCCAGGACAGCCCCAGGGGTGGCAGGCGCAGCACCCAGCCGGGAGCGGGTTGCAGGTGGGGTGATAGGCGGGAGGCCCAGGCGATAGGGGTTCTTACCACACTTGGAAAGCCTCCCCGTCATCATCTCCACACAGTTAGTGGTGTCTGGAGCACAGAACGGAGAGAGGGGGATGTGAACACAGCTTCCCACCAGCCCCTCAGGGACAAGTAGAGGCTCAGGGCAGGGAGTGGGGTCTGAGGGGTGGAGCCCAAAGGGGTAGGTATGGAGTGGGCGGGCTCAGAGTGCAGGCATTAGGTGAGGGCCACCTGGGCAGTAGAGGGTCCTGCCAGAGCCTCTCCCGCTGTCTTGCCCTGGGTCCAAGACACGCTGTGGAGCTGAGAAGCCCACGACTTTGGCCATGGTCTGCACTGGCCACCCATGTGTCCTCACCCTGCAGGCCTGCAGTACCCTACCCTGACCCTCCCATCTGCTGCTGGGCCTGGGAGCGTTGGTGCTGGCAAAGCCCTCGCTGCAGGTGGGATGTGCCCTCTGGGCCTCCCCTCTGTAGGCCAGGCTGGGGCCCTGTTGGAGTGGCCACCAGAGGACTTGGCGTGGTGGTTGAAGATCCCTCTTTCCACCCACTTCCCATGATGGCCCTGGGACTGAGCTTGCTGGACAAGAGCATCCAGTGTGGGAGGGAGGCCAGGGGATGGGGTCAGGGAATGGGCTGAGGTACCAGGTTGGGATCCCCAGGAAGAGAACTTGCTGAAGGAGGGTGAGGGAGATGGGTGAGGGCCCAGAGCTCATTGGTCCAGGCCAGCAAGGCCCTGCTCTGGGATGGCTGTAGGCACAGATGCCTGCTGGACATAAGCGTGCCAGGCCCTGGTCTTGGCTCCCCTTCCCAGACAAGCTTTGTTCTTCCCCAGCTTCAGTTTCCCTGTCAGCATTGCACTGCTCCAGATGGAGACCTTAACAGCTCAGGAGGCAGAGGCACCTGGCCTGCCTGCTCCCCACCCTAACAGCCAGGAGAGCGGGCCCACACCTGGGCTAGGGCCAGGGTGCTGAGGGACATGTTAGGGAGAAGAGGAGGGCAGTGAAAAACAGACGATGGAATGAGGATGGCAGGGTGGGGTGGGCGCTGGGCCGGCCTGGCCTTTAGAACTCCACACAGAAGCACCACAGGTCGGGGGAAGGGCCCACTGAGGCCCCAGCTGGCCACAGGGGGTTCAGAGAGGCAGACGAGGGCTGGACACTCTGCGCCCTAGGCCCCAAACGTCAGAACAGGCCTCACGACAACCCCGCACCTCACCGCCATCCAGACACACACTGCACACCTTCACCAATAGATGGCGACTCATGCAGGGCTCACACACCCATACCAGTGCAGCCCACCCCCACCAGGCATGACCCTCGGGCCTGGGAGCCCCTTTCCCTGGATGGCTTCTCTAGGCCCAGTTGGGGAGCCCTTGCTTTGACTGGGGCCTGAGGCCCCTTTTGTCCTGCTCAAGGCCAGACAGTCACAGGCCTCAGGAAGGGCAGATGGCAAGCAACCCCACCACATGTCAGGCTCCAGGGCCACAGCCCTCACAGGGCGCTGCTGCGGGGGAATCCCAAGGGGCCAGGGCTCCAGGCAGGACCTTGGCCACTGCTCTCCCGGGGCCTGCTCTCGCTGGGGGGTCCCGGGGCCAGCCTGCCCTGTGCCCCGAGACTCAGCCTGGGTTCTGGACCTGCACGGCTTGTCAAGGGCCAGGAGCTGGCCACTGGCCATGTGAGTGGGCACAGGGTGCCCTTCTCAGGGCCAGCCTGGCTCTTGCCAGAGGACATGACTGCAGCCCCCTCCTTGCCCCAGCGGTGGGGCGGGACACCTTACCTGCCAGCGTCAGAGGCTACTCTCGTAGCTGGTGGCCACCTTCTGGCCTTTAAGCCCAGCACCCCAGCTTAGTCCTGGCGCTGGCGGGGAGGGTTCTACAGTGGACAAGAGGTGCCTTTCAGTGTGGTGCGCTGGGCCCTACCTCCCTGGGTGTGCAGACTCGGGCTGGCCCGCTGTGCTGGGGAGGCCCTGCTCCCTGGGGGGCGGCGGAGGGGCCACGCCCACTCGATGGCCCACAGGGCGGCCGAGCTGAGCGCCGCCTCACCTGACAAGTGCTGGGTGGAGGGCTGGTCGTGTGTGCTCAGTAGCTGTGTCTGAATGGTCTCCACGACCCTCTTGAAGCGGCGGCTTGGGCCTGGGGGAGACAGCGGGTTAAGCCTGGGCGAGGTGGCCGGAGCCCGTGCCCTGGACCCAGCAGCTCACCTGATAGAAGCGTGAATGTGACAGAGTAGATGCCGTTCTCCTTCTGTGCCGCCCCACCCTCGCTGTAGGTGATGTCCACCTGGAACTTGACAGGCTTCTGGAACACTGCCGGGCCCCCTGTCGCCTTGTACTCGGCCCGAAAGCTGGTCTGGGAGATGACGCTGTGGCTGAGACTGGGAATCTGCAGAGTGGCAGTTCGGTGTGAGCGGGGACCCAGCCCCCACCCTGAGCTCCTGAACTGGGACCCACAGGCCAGCCCCTCCAGCCTCATCTGTGAAATGGGTGCAGCCAGCCTCCACCTGGGGAGGCCATCACCAGCAGGGCCCTCGGGATGTGGCCATGAGAGCCAAGAGCAGGACTGACCGAGACCCCGGGGCAGGGCTTTCTAAGGAGCGATGAGTAAACATGCAGGTGGGAGGGGGACCCCCAGAGCAGCAGTGAGGACAGGGGACCAAGGCTGAAGCCTCTATTGGCACTGAGAACAGCCACCTGAGGCCAAGGCCAGGGCCATCGCTGACAACAGTGCCTGAGGCTCTGCACCTGGTTGACACCCGCTGTGTATTTGGGTTTCGGGCAACAAAGGAAACTGGTCACAACAAACTCAGCAGGCAATCTTGCCTCAGGGTCCCCCCCAAGAGAGGGTTCTGCCCCCAGGAATGCCCAGCACCCGAGGTCAGAAGGGCCAGCCATACTGGGAAGCATTAGAGGGCGATGGCTGAGTCCATGCCCCACGGGGAGGGACTCTTGGTGTTCCAGGAACAGTAGAAGGGGCCTGAAGATCATAGGGTGGGGTCAGGGGGGACAGAGGCCCAGACCTGGGCCCTAAGGAAGAGAGCAGGGTACAGGGGAGTCAAAGGGGACGGTGTGCCTGTGTCCAGCGTGAGGCTGACTCCTGCCTGGTTCTGGGCTCTCCTGGCCCCTGAACCTCTGGGAGGAGCACCTGCTGTCCTCATAGCCCTAAGGGAACCTGGGTGGCAGCCGGTGACAGGGGGCGCTGAGACTGGGCTCAGAGAAACCCCCGGCAATCTCTGCCCACCTGGTGGTGGGGCTGGAGCTGCAGCAGCTAGACCCCCTCTGGTGATCCTGGGATCTCCCCTAAGCTGTGATCCTGGGGCTCCCTGGCATGAATCTGGAAGAAAACCCTCAGGGCTTTCTGCTCCCTGTGCCTGGTGATTTGGCAAAGACAAGGGAACCCATAGAAGGCCCAGTGTAGCCCCCTCAGCACTATAGGCCTCGGTGGGAGGCAGGGGCTGCAGGAGGCCGGCAGCATGTGGGGCATGCAGAGGGCACTCAGGAAACAGGCCCCTGGGGACTGTTACCGAGGCCTTGGCACATCCCCTGGATGCGGCAGAGGTCCCTCTATTGAGGCTGCCTGCGCATCAGCCCTCGGGGCGTATCCCTGTCCCCAGTGCCACCCTCCATCACAGCCCAGCCTGGGACCTGTTCACAGCATGGCTTGCTTTGTCAACGCCTCAACCCGCCAGCCACACGTGCCCCTGCCTGGCCCACACCTGCTCCTCCAGGGTCCCCTTCCCCTCACCCCCGGGGCAGGCGGAGACAGTGTCTGTCTGTCCAGTGAATGGACCCTCTGGGGCGGGACAAGGCTCACCGACAGGAAGGCATGAACGATGTCGGCTTTGATGGAGCTCAGGGGCTTGTCCTTGATGACCAGGAAGATCTGCTCCTCCTTCTCGAGGCTGATGAAGTTCCCGAACCAGGACTTCTTGGCCAGCCTGCGGGGTGGAGCGAAGGGCTGCTCACACCTCGGGGACAGGCCTGCCCTGCCCCTGACCCCACCATCCTGACCTCCCGACTGCCTCCTGAGCTCTGATTCACCCTGCTCTGGACCCTGAGCCCCTGCCCACCCTGATATTACCATCCTAACCTCGACCTGCCTTGTTTCTGTCTCCACCCATGCCTGACTCGATAACCCTACTGCTAATCCCACAGCCCTGGGCCTAACACTCCATCCTCCCCCCTTGTTTGGGCCCAGCAGCACCCACTGGAACCCAACCAGAAGGGTATGGCACCATGACCCTGGGGTGATTTGCTGTGCGGCAGTCCCACAGCCTCCTCGAGGAAAGTGGCCCCCACCCAGGGGGGGCTGTGAGGGGAGCAGGAGCATGCGGGAGCTGGGGTGGGATTGGGGCAGGCCAGGCACCCTTGCTTGGCTATAAATGGCTGAGACATGGCGCAAAGGAGGGGCAACCTCAGCTTCCCCAGGCCACCCTTCTTGTCTCCGCCCTCAGGGACTGGTGGCCCTCGCTGCCTGCCTCCCTGCTGCCCCAGCCCAGGCCACTCCATGGGACTGGGCTGCTGGGCAGGGCGGGGATGCAGCCCAGAGAGCCCCAGGCTGGCAGCACCTTCTCACATGAGCCCTTACTCCATTGCGCTCAGGGCCACCCTCCCTCCTTGGTCGACAGTGCTGACCTGGTCACTGTGGCCTGGTCTGGGGCTGCCCCTGAGGTGGAGCCCTCCCCATGACAGTGTGGGATAGACGCCCACCACCCTGCCTCCTGGATTCACGCCTGTGTGGCCCTTCCTATGGTGTGGGTGGGCCAGTGACCAGCTTCTGACAGGAGAATGTGGAAAAGTGGAAGTCATCTCCGAGATCGGGCCACAAAGTCTGACTCCCCTCTCACCGCTTTGTTGAAATGGACCAACTGGTGAGAGGCCCACGGGGACCTGAATCCGGCCCACAGCAGCTCCTGCTCCTGTGCAGCCATGAAGGCCACAGGCTGTCATCTCTAAAGTCAAGCACCCAGCTGGGTGTGGCTGGTCCTGACCACTGAGAGGACAAGCATGCATCGTTTTACGGTGGAATGTGTTTGATTCGTTTGTCATGCAGCCATTGATGACTGGCAAACCCTGGCCAACTTCTTGCTGCCTCCCTTGCAGCTACAGTGTAGACACATGACCACTCTACCTGTCCAGTGATGAGAAGCAGCAGCCAGGCCCATGGCATTAGTAGGGCACTCCAAGGTACTCTACACTGGCCTGGGCACGGCCAACAGTTTTCCTGGTTGTGTGACAGCTTCCCTTTTCCTGCCCATTTCCAGAGCCACTCTTCAGCTGCTGTGACAATGACCAACCCACCTGCCAACAGTGTCCCTGTCCTCCCGGCGCAGGAATCCCAACAGAAGATGTGAAGAGAGGACATTGAGGACCCCACACCCTCATTCAGCCACCTCAGCTCCCTGGCTGTCTGCCATGTTGAGCGAGTGCGGGCTGCTGGCCTGAGCTGCACAATGCTGCACCCAGGACTACGCCGGGCCTGGAGCCCACAGCTGGGGCTCGTGCCTTCTGCAGACGCGTTACAGTGAAAACTGGCTTTTTGTACTTTGACACCAGGGGTTTGAACAGTCCCGGATCTGAAAGAAGCCTGGCTGAGCTGGGAAGGCTAATAGAGGGTGTGTGGGGACAGGCCTGTGACAGTAGCTCAAGGTGTCAACTTGGCCTGTCTGGTCCAACATTGGGTGTTGCTTCTTGAAAGACATCTTATCGACGTGGTAGTTGTTACCAGCGAGGTCCTGCAGGCCAGCCTGCGACATCACCCAAGTTCTATTTCCCACCTGCTGACCCCAGTCTCAGGCCCGCTGGCATTCATGTGCACACCCACCCGCACCCTCCTGGTTTCGGTTTCCTCGGGGACCCTGACTGACGCAGGGCTCCTAGAAGCTACAGGTGGAATGTCCTGGGACCAGGAGCGTGTCTTGTGCAGGAGGCGCTGGGGAGCTCACTGCACCCCGCTTCCGGGGACACCTGCACCTGCTCATTCCCACCAGGGTCTTGGGCAGGGACAGGCCCCATGGGCCTCAATGGAATAGAGGGGCATAGGCCATCGGCCACAGCACGTGACTGTGTGATTTTGTAAATTCCCTGCAAGTCCAGCAGTTACACTACAGGCAAGTTTGGGAAGGCTTTTCAGGGCAGCAGAGATGGGCAACTGAAGGGATGCAACCAGTGGGACTGCAGAATCCCCCTAACCTAGCAGCTCCGGGCTCGCACCTGCACCCACATGCACAACACCATAACAACTTCTCTCTCTCAGACAGCTGGCCCCACTGCCTTCACTGCCAGCGCAGCCCCCCACGCCCTGCCCTGTGTCTACACCGCATTTCCTGTTCACACCACCACCTGGGGACGAGGGAGCCGAGGCCTCAGGGAGGGCGGGCACTTGCGCAGGTCTCTCCAGGACCTTGGCTGGAGACCCTGAGTGGGGGGCATTTCCGTATGCAGATCTTCTGTGGGGTGGGGGGCGGTGGCCCTGTTTCCCCATCGCTCCCACGGCCCCTGCATCTTCCTCTCATGTGACAATGATCCGAGGGTTACTCTGCACCTGGCCTTGGCCAAGGCCACTCCATACGTGTGTTCCTGCAGGCCATTGCTGGCTATCCCTCCTCCTCGCCTGCACCGTGATTTCACCTTGAGATCCTCCATCCTTACAACCGGACACGTCTGGCCACCTTCTGGGCTCTGCTCTGCCCAGCACCCTTCCCTGGTGGAAACCCCTGTAGCAGGCACCTCAGACCAGTCCTGGAGGCCTCCCCATGCTCAGCACATCCAGGGCAGACGCTGTGTCTGAAGTGTGAGCAAGCCGGGCCCCTGTGGCTCCCTCGTGTGGAGGCCAGGGCTCAGCACGTATGCAGCAGTCCCTCCGAGGAGTGGCTATGCCGTACTGCCTCCAGCCAGCATAGGCCCTTCTCCCAGGCTGTGGCTCAGAGCAGAACTGAACTGTCCCCTAAGGGCTCCCCCACCATCCTAGGCCCTGCTCCCCGCCTGGTGTTCAAAGTGCAGGAGGCTCCGAGATGTGCACGCTGGCGAGGAGGTAGCTGAGGCAGGAGGTGGAGGAGAGGACCAGCGGCAGCAGGGGCCACAGGGAGAAAGGGAGAAGGACCTGTGGGCTGGGATGCTCAGCCGGAAGCCCTTGTGGATTCCGTGGCCTGTTATGTGGAAGGGTACCCTGTGGCCCCCTCGTGCTCTTGGCATCCTAGTACCAGGCAGGAGGTTGACAGATCCCACCTGCTCCGACGGCCACTTACTCTGGGGAGGACTCCGGGGTCAGGTTGGACATCTCCTCTGGCGTCGGGACTGTGCACAGGAAGGACAGAGAGAGAAGGTGTGGTGACCACTATGCCCTCCCCACAGGTCCTGCACCGTGGGGGGTCCTATGGAGCACCCACATACTGTCTACGGGCACCTTCCTGGTCGGAGCCTTGGGAGCCTTGGGCCATTGGGAGCTGTCCTGACCCCTGGTGCTGAAACCAGGCTAGGCCTGCTCTGGCCTTCAGCCAGTCCTGCTGTCCCTCCAGGTGTTGGGTGTGCTGGCTGGGCTCTCCTTGGGTGTGTGCCCGGCATCCCCTTGGGGGTGAGGAGGGGACTGCCCCTTGGCACTGGGCCCCACGCCTCACCCCTTGGCTGTGCAGTGGGGCTGGTGAGCCCAGATAGCCAGCCACTGTCAACTGACCCTCAGCACCCAGCACACAGGGGCAGGCTTCCCTGCATTACCCTGTGGGCTTCGTGACCATCATGTCCACACCCACCCAGTGGCCATCTCTCCTCCCTGGGCCTCAGGCAGCCCGTACTGAGGAGGCCACTGGGCTGAGGAGAAGTAAGGGTCCCAGGAGGGCTCCCAAGGCTGTGCCCACTGGGTGCCAGGTCTGCACTGTGTGGGCCCAGGCACATGTTGAGAGGCTGGTAAACAGTGGAAATCTGTGATGCTGCCTAGGCCTGTGCCAGTCTAGCAGACCTGGGAATGATCCAGTGCTTTTGGTAGGGTGACCCCTGCCTGGCTCCACTCGCCCCGCTGGCCAGGATGAGCAGTGCTCCACTCGCCCCGCTCATCGCCTGTGCCCTGTCGTCACCGAGCTCACCCTGCAGTTTCCGGCGGTGGAAGCGAGGTGACCCCAGGAAGCTGTTCTTGATGGAGTTGAGCCTTGTCCTCCAGGGCACCCCTCCAACGCTGGGGCTGGACGGCGGTGTGGGGTTGGGTGTGCCAGCTGGGCTTTCCTTGGGCGTGTGCACTGGCGTCCCCTTGGGGGTAGGGAGGGGACTGCCCCTTGGAGAGGGGTGAGGGGTCACCTGTATGGTGGGGACAGATTTAGTGTTTGGTTCAGTCCCAGTGAGCAGAAGCCGGGTGGGGGCAGGCAGAGGGGCCAGCCCCAGGGGCGGGGCCAGTTGGGGGCCAAGGCCGCCAGGGACAGGGTGCCGGGCCTGGGTGCTGGCTGGGAGTGGGTTGGACTTGGTGCCCTGCAGAGGCTTGTCGGTCAGCTTGGCCTTGCTTGGCAAGGTTTGGGTCTTGGGGTTGGGCCGCGGGGCGGCCTGTGGAGGGAGGACGTGTCCAGGCCGAGAGGCGCTCTGACAAACTTCGGGCTCCATGGAGGTGGCCAGGGTGCAGGCCACGAAGGGAAGTTCAGGGGGAGGGGGAGGCAGCACAAACTTCCTAACAGGCTACAGGGCAGGCACCGAGGGCAGGGAGTGGAGTGCGGGTCCGCCATGCAGGAGTCAGCCATGCATCCGTGCCCCCCACCCACATGCACACAGAACCCCAGGAAGACCCACGGGTGCAGGCATGTGGGGGCGGAGCATTTGCCACGAAAGAAAACAAGTAACACACAAGAAAACACAGAAAACAAAACAAAAAACGTGCAGTTAGCAAGAGCAGCCAGAGCCGCAGAACAGCAGCACCACGCGTGGCCCCCAGCAGGTGGGAATGGCGGGGCCTCTTCCAGGGCCGCCCGGCCCCTCCCGAGCACCTTCGGTTTGGGAGCCTGAGTGGAGGGGGCGTCACTCACCCGGGGGCTGCTGAGTGGGCTGGTGGAGAGGCCTGAGGAAGCGCCGCTGATGGATCGGGACCTGGGGACACAGGTGCAGAGCGGGGCTCAGCTGAGACGGGCCACAGGCGCACAGCTTCTCTTCCCACAGGAGGCCTGGGTGCCCAGGACTGTCCTGCTGTCCCCACCCCGCCTGTCCTCATCAGGAGAGACCCTGCAGCCTCTTTGGGACCCCCATCGGAGCCCCATGGTGCAGCCTTGGAGCCCTCTGCCAGTGTCTGCAGGGGCTCAGGTGGGCAAAGGGATGAGGAAGGTTGCAGATTCCTGGAAACTGAACCCAGCCTGTGCCAGGCCCCTCTCCACACTCCAGCTGCCAGGAACCACCTGACCCCCAAGGCTGTGCTGGCCCAGCGCCACCAGCTGGGCATTAGCCAGCCCCTTGGCACCCACAGCCCACCTGCCCGGTCCAGAGCTGCCCACAGCAGGCCAGCCCTTGGCCCTCTCCTCACTTGCACGACCAGGGCCTGGGCAAGACGAGGCTGGGGTGGACACTGATCTTTTTCCACCACAGGCTGCACTGGGCCTGCAGGCCTGGCCAGGGCATAGCTGGACCCAGGGTGCCCAGCTGAGACAGGCACACAGCTGTGCCCCCTTGGGGCAGACACGGCCTGCAGGGACTTACCACACCTGCGGTCCTTAGGGAAAGGAATGGGACTGGGGGCTGATGCAGCCCTAGGAAAGGACGGGAATGGTGGACTGCCCTGCCACCTGCCCACCCCGGCCAGCATGGCCTGGAGAGGGGTCTCGCCTGCCACACCTTGGCCTGGCCCCTGGGCCTGGGGGAGGAATGGAGCCCATGCTGGCCAGACCTTGGCTCCTGGCCACTCCACCAGCACCTGTGAGCTGGGGCCCCATGGCCATGACCGTCGTACTCTCCCACCTGACCCAGGCCCACTGTCACTCAGCACTTTCCCTGCTCCAGTCCCCCAGCCCAAAGCTTTCCGATGCTGAGTCCCAGTTGGTGCCCCCCAACAGCCACAGTGAGGCCCAGTGCCTGGGGCCTCCCACCGAGCCAGTGCAAGCTTGTGGCTTGGCACAAGGAAGCAGAGAGCAGCAAGGGGAGAAAGGGGTGGGAGCCGTCCACACGCCCTCCTGCCCAGCAGGCAGCTTCCAGAGACTGAGCCATGGCTGCCTAGACAGGACAACACCTGCACCCCAGAGGCAGGGGCGGCGAGACTGTGGGGGACCACGGGGCAGGCCCAACCATGTCACCCTCAGGCAGTGGGCCCTGCAGGTGCAGGGCAGGGGGCTCACAAAGGCCAGGTGTGACCAGCACACCTCCTGCCATCAACTTGGGAGGCTGCAGTGGGCTCGGGATGGCTGAGCCGCCTCTGGCTGCCACTTCCACTCAGGCCCTAGTGGGCAGCATGGTGGCCCCAGGACCCAGGTGACAGCGCCGGCCAAGGGGAGGTTAACCAGGACCACCACCAGCCACATCAAGGTGGGCCAGATGGGGCCTCGCACCTGCAACCCCTCAGGGGCCCAGGGCAGGGAGAGCACAGTGGGTCTCCCAGCCCCTCTTGGGCTGGCCGTTGGCCTCGCCCAGTAGCCCACTCCTCCTGGGCCTCAGCCTGGCCTGACCCAGCCTTTCCCCCGGCTTCTGGAAGGTTCCCTTGCCAAAGGGGAGCAGGCCAGAGCCTCAGGCCCAGCCCTGCCACCAGGCCCGAGTCGCCTGGGGGGCTGGGGGCGGGGCGGGTGGGCAGGGTGTATACCTGTCTTCTTTGCTGAATTGGGGGTGGGCTTCAGCGATATCCAGGCTTTTACTGAACATTGCTTTACTACAGCGGGAACAAAGCGAGAAAACAGAGTTACTGCCACAGCGCCGCCAGACGGCCTGGAGGCCAGACCACACAGCTCCTAGCTGTGCGCAGGGCACACAGATGCCAGGGGACATGAGCAGGAGAGCTCCAGGGGCACAGCATCAGCCCCAGCAGGAGGCCCACTGTCACTCAGCACCCTATGGCCAGAAGAGGAGGCAGAGGCCAGGAGCTGGGAGGAAGGGGCTTTCAGGTGACCATCAGCCTGGGTCACACCAACCCACCCTAGCACCCAGCAGCCCATGGCAGCCAGGCCTGGGAAGCAGAGTAGAAGCCATGGCAGGGTGGCCTCCCACCCCCAACCCCTACCCCAGGCCCAGGCAGGTGAGGTGGGAGGGTGTGGGGAGGCTGGTGCAGGGAGGGCCAGGTCAGCACTCAGCCAGCCCCGCCGGGTTCCAGCCAGAAGCCAAGGGCCAGGCTTGGGGAGCTGGGCTGAGCAGAGGTATGCCCACAATAAGCAGGGCAGGTGTGGCACTGGGCAGGAGTGTGGCCAGCAGGAAACCTTCCCCTTGCTCCTCCCCTTGCCCCACCCGGTGCCAGAGCCACAGCTGTCTGGAGACCTGGATAGAGGCTGAGCAAGCTGGTTCCCTGGGAGGACCCAGGACCACTAGGGGGCTGTGGGCCATCAGCCCAGTTTAATCATGATGGTGGCCCGGCTGCCCTGTGGTTCCCCTGTTTGATGGTAAATTCCTTGGGAGGCTTGGCCAGCTCCAGCACCCAGCTGACCAGAGATAGCTGGGGCTGCGTGGACCACCCACGGTGCTCCCCAGGGGGTGGGGCAGACAGCTGAAGCCCCCATCTGGGCAAGAACATTCAACCTCAACCTAACAGCGCCAGGTGAGGATTGGCCAAGGGCCTCACAGCTGTGACTGTGGGCCTGGATGTCTGCTTCCTCCAGGGGGATCTGTTGGGACAGCCTAGATCTGCTCATCGTCCCCCAAAATTCCATTTTCATGCCCCTTGCACAGCCATAGGGGACCCAAACACGGGACCAGCGGTTAAGTGGGGACAAGCCTGCTAGACTGCTGGCTCTGAGCATAGCTGGACCACGATCCAGTCTATTCCACCTCAGGACAGCCCAATCCAACTCAGCCCAACCCAGTCAAGCCCAGCTCAGCCCAGCCCACTCCAGTCCAGGGTGGCCTACCAGCCCAGGCCAACAAAGCAAAGCCCTGCCCAGCTCAGCCCGTGCAGCCCAGTGCAGCCGGCCCAGCCCCAGGGCCAGGGGGCAGAGATGAGTTAGGCCCAGCACAGCTCAGGAGGGGTGCCTTCACTGATCAGGCCAGGGCACAAGCAAGTAGGGCACTGGGTCCCCCCCGGAGGCATGTACCTCTGGCTGTGCTGGGCCATCTCGATGGCCCGCCGAGCAGGCACCGGAGAGCCGCCGTCTGTCACACTGAGCACCTCCATGGACTTGCGTTCAGGTCGCCGCTTGCCGTGCCGGTTCAGCATTGGGGAGTCCACGCGCTTCCGGGGAGGGTCTGTGTGCAGATAGGGGTCAGGCCGGGCAGCCTGCTGCATCTGGCAGGGCTGGTGTGGGGCCAGGCTTCCCTGGGACTTTGTACCTATTTCGTTCCTGGGGGGCAGGTCCTCATCCTCGTGGCTGGGGTACCTTTCTTTCCGGTCCAGGAGGAGGAAATAGATCATCTTCTCCTGGTTTTCCCTGTTGGGGGCGGGGGGGGGGGCGCGAGAAGGGTCAGCAAGCATGGTGTCCACTGCCGGATGGTGGTCCTAGGGCCACAGCATTCCCTCCCACAGCCCACCATCCCCCGCTGCTGCCTGCAGGACCCCACATGGGACATACTCCTCAGACAGCAGGTCCTGCAGCAGCTTGTTGCGGTCTCGGAAGCAGCCCAGCGAGTGCATGCTGTCCAGCACATCGGGGTCAATGTCCTCCAGGCTGGGCAGTGAGCGGATCTGCACCTTTCGGGGGATGGGCTGCTCTGGCTCAGGCTCGTTCTTGCCCCCTCTGTGGACAACAGGGCACCACCAGTGGTCACTGACCTCGGCAGGCCTAAGGCTCCTTCCCCCCAGCCCTTCCTGGGGACCCTGAGTCCTGCTGCTCTCTCCCTGTCCCAGCCCCTGCACACCTCCTGCACGCTGCTGTGCCCAGCGCAGGCATGCCGGGAGTCCCTGAGCGCTGGGCTGAGGCTGGGGGCAGGCCTGCGCTGGGCTGGGTCCTCCCCCCGCCTTCCCTAGCAGGCCCTCCGGCTGCAGCGACAGGCAAAGCAGGCGATGAGTGGGAGGAAAAGCTACTTACATATACCATATGTGTTTCTGAATGTGCTCTAGCTACAAGAGAGAGAAACAGGAAGTTAGTATGGAGGGAGCAGGGAGCCCACGTTAGGAGGCCAGAGGGAGCAGGAGCTGGGAGCACCTGGGGGGCGTGGAGAGGACCATCGTGGAGGAAGATAGCCAGCAGGAAGAGGGGAGGGAGTGGAGGAGGGACGATGGAGGGTATGGGGAGGGAGGAGGAGGGGAGAAGGATGAAGGGAGGGCAGGGAGAGGACAGGACGCGGAGGGAAGGTGGGGGGAGGAGAGGGGAGAGGGTGGGGATGGAGGAAAATGGGGAGGGGCTGCGCGTTCCCAGAGGCTCCAGACTAGCCCCCTGACCCTGCCTCCCCAGTGGAAGAGGAAATGCCAGTCTAGGGAAAGGATGGTGGGGCTGCAGGTATGGGTAGGAGGCAGGGGGCCCCTGGTGGCTCAGAGAAGGAGGTCTGAGGGAGGAGAGCAGAAGGCAGCCAGGGGTGGCCCACTTGTGGGGAGGGGCTGGGGTGCAGGTGAGAGCAGGGGGCTCAGAGGCCCGCTCTCCCAGTGCCTCTCCACCAGCCTGGGGACAGCTGGGTTGGGGCGGTTGGGAGATGGCCTCTTGGTCACCAGGCCACCCCTGTCCTGGAAAGACCAGTCCAGGGGAGTCCTGCTGCCCTTGCCCTGGGGATCTAATGTCCTGGTACCAGCTAAGCCCTGGCTGCCTATGGGCTTCTTTCAGAAGTGGGACTTCCCTCAGAACATCCAACCCCCCATGGTCAGTGTCTTGATGAGCTGTGTCCACTGTCAGGGCTGGCCTGGAAGCTGAGGGACGGTGCTAGAGTTGGTGAACGCTGGTCTCCCAGGCACACCTGCAGGACACAGCCAGCAGGAGGCCCCTGTGCACATACCCACATATCCATGCACATTCACACCTGGGCACATGCTCACACATGTGAATACTGCCTGTGCATCTGTGTACATGCACACATGTGCACATACCTGTGAAATACAGTTGTGCAGACACTCTCATGCATGTGCACACACAAACTGTACCCATGCAGGGGCACACACACTTATGAACGGTTCTCATGTGCATGAGTGCACATACCTGTGTACACGTGTATGTGCACACTACTGTGCCTGCACTCATGCACTTGCAGTCACACTTATGAAACGTGCAAACAACTGCATGCACTCTCACACATATGCACATTCATACCTGTGCGCGCACACACCTGTGCACACACATAGCTGTGCATTCACTCACGCCTGTGTATAGCCCGCACACCCAGGGGTCCCTGTACCACACTCGCAGGCACAAGTCTCCCTTCCCAGGGAGGTGGCATGGAGAGGGAACCTCTACCCCTGGGGGCCCTTAAGTCTGGCCTGGAAGTGTAGGCCCGCACCCTCTGACCCTCTCTGCGCCCGCACGCACCGTGAGGCGCCGCGCCGCATCCACTTCGATCATGCCGCGCAGCAGGCTCTGGCAGTCCGGGGGGATGAAGTGCGGCATGTGGAACACTCCCCGCTTCACCTTCTCCAGCAGCTGCCGCAGGTTGTCATCGTCGAAGGGCAGCGCCCCCTGCCGGCCGGAGACGGGGTCACCGTGGGGCGGGGGACTGGGCGGGAGGGGCGGGACAGAGGGGCGGCACAGAGATGGAAGGGTGAGGGAGGAGGGACGAGCAGGGGAGGAGAGGCAGACGGGGGAGGCGGAGCAGGGTGTGGACGG